AAGCCAGTGGCTCGCTCAACACAACGTTTTTTAAAAGACCCTTTTTTTCAACTTTTTTCTATTTTTTTTTTCACTACAAAACACGAGAGAGAGAGAGACTGGCTGGGCTGGGCTGGGCTTCTCCATTTTCTATTGGACCTGCCATCTGCTATAGAAGCCAGGCCAGTTGAATAATTGAGAAAAGCATGTTTTTGCAATTTATAAAGTGCTGATAAATAGAAGCGATTTTAGTATGAACGGGAGAAAACCGGAGTGCAACTATGACTTTACTCTTTCTACCTCCAATTCTCCACGGCTAAACCCTACAAGTCTCTCTATGAATGAATGAACAGATGAATGTTTCTACGCACACGATTTATATGTATGTATCCATGTATATGCACCATAATACCAATATTTTGGTGCCAAGTAATAAAACTGAATACACAGAAACTTTGATGGAGGAAGAAAAGGAAAATTATTATATTCTCGTTTTTCTATATTACAATAATCGTATACACATTTATAAGTGAAAGTCTAAGCTGTACGTGGTAAAATGAATTCTGTAATGGAAAAAATCTGTATATGGAAAACGATGGCTTGATTTCTATGATTTGTGCTAATCAAAATATCTATTTGATTGCTGGTTGCTTGATTGCTAATTGTCTGGTGTGTGATGTAATACTCCCCCTCAAGTTGGAGCATGAAGATCCGTAATGTCCAACTTGGATCGATAAAAGACAAACAATTCGCGTCCCAAGGGTTTAGTAAAGATATCAACTTGTTGTTGAGAGGTTGGAACATAGGAGGTAGCAAGGAGACCAGATTTAATTTTCTCACGAACGAAATAACAATCTAATTCAATGTGTTTTGTTTGTTCATGGAAAATCGGATTGCGAGCAATGTGGATGGCAGCCTGATTGTCACAGTGAAGTAGAATAGGCTGCGGATGGGACATAGTAAGTTCATGTTGAAGAAGGCGAAGCCAAACAAGTTCACAAGTGGTAGTGGCCATTGCACGATATTCAGTTTCAGCAGAAGAACAAGAGACAGTAGTTTGTTTCTTAGTACGCCAAGAGATGGGGCTATCACCTAATTTGATTATGAAACCAGTTGTAGAACGTCGTGTGAGTAGACAACTAGCCCAATCAGAGTCACATAAGGCAGATATTTGAAAACTACAGTTAGACGAGAAGAAGAGGCCATAACTAGGAGTAGTTTTCAAATAACGGAGCAAATGGTGAGCAGCATGGAGACGAGGCTTGCGAGGGGTGTGCATGAACTGACTTAGAATGTTGACAGCAAAGGTTATATCCGGACGAAAGATAGTCAAATAGATCAAACGACCAATCAATCGTCGATATGAGCTAGGATCATCTATAAGATCGCCATCAGTGTCATTAAGTTTGTAATGTTGTTCTATGGGAAAAAAAAGCAGGGCGAGAGTTGAGTTGACCAGAATCAGAAAGAATGTCCAAAGTGTATTTCCTCTGATTGATAAAAATTCCTTTAGGGGATCGAGCAACTTCAATCCCTAGGAAATATTTGAGATCACCAAGATCTTTAATTTTGAAGGTCTGAGCAAGATGCCGTTTGATAGAATTGATGGTAGAGATGTCATTACCAGCAACTAGAATATCATCGACATATATAAGAATGGCAGTAAATATTGCACCCGTGGTTTTTGTGAAGAGACTATGATCAGTTGCAGATTGACTGAAACCTGGCAAGTTTGAGAATATGAGATAATTTCGAGTACCATTGATATGGGGCTTGTTTGAGGCTATATAAACATTTGTGGATACAGCATACGCATGTCTCCTCTTGACAACAATATCCTGTTAGTGGTCGCATGTACACTTCCTCATCAAGATCACCATGGAAGAAATCATTATGAACATCTAACTGTTGAATAATCCAATGTTTGGCTGTAGCTATAGCAAGCAGACAACGAACAGTAACAAGTTTAGCCACATGAGCAAAAGTGTCATTATAATCAAGACCTTCTACCTGAGTAAAACCCTTGGCAACTAAACGAGCTTTATGACGTTCAATGGAACCATGTGCATTTAATTTTGTTTTGTAAACCCATTTGCAACCAATGGCCTTCTTACCAGGGGGAAGATGTTCAAGGGTCCATGTGTGATTAGCTTCCGGGGCTTGAATTTCAGAAGCCATAGCCTTTTGCCAATGAGGCTCAAGAATGGCTTGAGAATAATGTACAGGGTCTTGAACATTTTTGGAGATAGAAGAGGGGAAAACAAAATGTTTTGGACTAAAGAAACGATAAGAAAGAAAATTAGGTAAATAGTGAACTGTACCTGAGAAAGACTGGGAATGGGATGATGAATGTGGTCCCTCTGGAGGTAGATCTGAGCAAATATAATCCTAAAGATATGCGGGGCAAGTAGTTGTGCGTCGAGGTCTAGATGATAGGGGTGAAACACTAGCTTGTTCTAAGGAGTTGGTTGGTTCATCATCTTCTTGTGGTGTTGGTATGGATGGTTCAATGTCTGGTGCGGATGGAGCTTGAGTGTCACGTGTATCATGAATTGAAGGTAAGGTAGTATAAGTTATATTGAGGGACGATTGATTGTTTGGCGGGGTGTGTGGTAATGAGGCGGCAGAGGTTTGCATGATAGTAGTAAATGGAAAGATAGATTCTACAAAGTGGACATCACGAGATAGAAATATCTTTTTGGTTTGCAAGTCATAAACACGATAGGTGTGTGGAGTTTGAGAGTAGCCTAGGAATATGCATGATGTGCCCCGAGGAGAAAATTGTCCTGATGAGCACTTAAAGTGTACGCATAGCAAAGACATCCAAAGACACGAAGGTGATCATAATTAGGAGATTTGTTGGAAAGGAGGTTATAAGGGGTTTTGTTATTGAGAGAGGGAGTTGGTATGCGGTTAATTAAATAAGTAGTAGTAAGTATGCATTCACCCCAGAATAAAATTGGTAAATGTGCATGAAAGCGAAGACATCAAGCCACATTTAACAGGCGATGATGCTTTCGTTCAGCTACACCATTTTGTTGGGGTGTCTCAACACAAGTGCGTTCATGAATGATGCCATGGTCAAGAAAAAATTGCTGAATACGATGAGAGAGAAATTCTTGACCATTATCAGATCGAAAATTTGTGCTTATTATTTGAATTAATATATTTAGTCTTTACTTGGTTGAATTTAGATTAATTCTTCGAAAAAGTTTCAAAAACCAATTCACCCCCCTCTTGGTTAGTTATTCTTGGGCTAACAGTGTTGGTATGGATGGTTCAATGTTTGGTGCGGATGGAGCTTGAGTGTCACGTGTATCATGAATTGAAGGTAAGGTAGTATAAGTTATATTGAGGGACGATTGATTGTTTGGCGGGGTGTGTGGTAATGAAGCGGCAAAGGTTTGCATGATAGTAGCAAATGGAAAGATAGATTCTACAAAGTGGACATCACGAGATAGAAATATCTTTTTGGTTTGCAAGTCATAAACACGATAGGTGTGTGGAGTTTGAGAGTAGCCTAAGAATATGCATGATGTGCCACGAGGAGAAAATTTGTCCCGATGAGCACTTAAAGTGTACGCATAGCAAAGACATCCAAAGACACGAAGGTGATCATAATTAAGAGATTTGTTGAAAAGGAGGTCATAAGGGGTTTTGTTATTGAGAGAGGGAGTTGGTATGCGATTAATTAAATAAGTAGTAGTAAGTATGCATTCACCCCAGAATAAAATTGGTAAATGTGCATGAAAGCGAAGACATAAAGCCACATTTAACATGTGACGATGCTTTCGTTCAGCTACACCATTTTGTTGGGGTGTCTCAACACAAGTGCGTTCATGAATGATGCCATGGTCAAGAAAAAATTGCTGAATACGATGAGAGAGAAATTCTTGACCATTATCAGATCGAACATGTTTGATAGGACAATTAAATTGTGTGGATCATTTTAATAAATGTGATCAGATAAGTAAATGCATCGGATTTGAAAGGCATGAGGTATACTCAAGTAACACGTGAAAAATCGTCAATAATTGTAAGAAAATAATGTGCACCATTTGTGGAGGGTTTAGGATATCCACCCCAAATGTCACAAAAAACCTGATTAAAGATAAAAGTACTTTTATTCTCGACCAATTTGAAGAGGAGTCGAGGTTGTTTGCCTCGAATACAACTGCACAATTTGTAATTTTATTTGAACTACATAAAGATTTTGGAATGCAAGAATTTGAAGGATGACCTAAACGAAGGTGCCATAAATGTGGTATAGGTGTAGGGTTTGTCGTGATTTGAAATGCAGTTGGAGTAAAATGTTTAAAATGGTAGAGGCCTCCACGTTGTTCACCCATTCCAATCAGCTTCCTCGTGTGTTGGTCCTGAAATAAGCAAATAGAGGAAGAAAAAAGGACAGTACAATTGGATGATTTAGTAAGTTAACTAACTGAAATTAAGTTAAAATTAAAATTCAGAACAAAAAGAACATTATAGAGACATAAATTAGGAGAAATATGAATGTGGCCCATATGTGTGACTTGGGCCTTAGAACCTGTGGGTAGTGTGATTAATTGAGAATCGGCCCAAGTATGTGTGGCTTTAGATAAATTTGAAATACAAGATATATGGGCCGAAGCCCCACTATCAATTGTCCATGGGATTTGGGTGAGTGATGGACAAATACTGGAAAAGGTAGAGAGAGCATTGGTATTGGTCTGCAGAAGTTCCATCAATTGTCGATAATGCTCTTTAGAGAGACCAGGAATGACACACGAGGCTGAAGAAGTTGAAGATGCGGACACCATATTTGTTGTGGGTGCCTGTTTACTGGCTGCACCATGTGATCGGTTACTGGCCGAAATATGAGTAGGTCGCTGTGAGTGTTGCTTCGGTTTATTGGTGGATCCTAATGTTTTTAACGAGGTATTGATGCAGCAGAAAAATGTGTTGTCGGTTTGGATCTATTATTGGGCCAGGTTTCAAAATGGTTCTTGTATGATCCTGTTTCGTGCAAGATAATTTTTAGTATGCTTGTGAAGGCCAAAGCTGCAAAGAGTGTTCTCGAAGAAACGAAGTTTGAACCAGAACCGAGATGTTTGGAGTCGAATATTGAGGGTCTTTATGAAAATGGGTTGGTTGAGGAAGCCTTAGATGTATTTAAACAATTGAAAATGGCCGGTCATTGTGTGTTTTTGAAGATATGGAATTCTGCTGTCTTGCAGTCTGTCAAAGCAAAAAGAGTTGGACATTATCTGGAAAATGTATAGTGACATGGGGGTTGAGATGTTGTTGATGATGTGGATACGATTGGATACTTAGTCCAAGCATTTTTATGGAAAATAATGCTGCAGAAGGCCACAAGCTTCTTCGACAGTTTCCAGAGGCGAGGCATGTCTTACGTGCAGAGAAAACAGATTCAGCAACTTCCACAACTTCAGCCAACTCAGAAACAGATTCAGCAGCAACAACTAAATCAGTTGCTCCCATAACAAACAAGTAGCAGTTATGTCCAGTTATACCTGTTTAGTTGGAAATGAAATTAGTTAGATACAGTTAGTTAGAATAAATACAGTTTGTTAGTTAAAACTATTCGTCAAAGTTTGTTGGGTATAGAGATATGGGTCGTTACAGAATCAACCAACTATAAGAGATGTATAGTTTACTACGTAATTAAAATGTAATTTCAACCAAATGGAATTCACTGCTCAGATGTAGATAATTGTGGAAGATCATATTTTTTTAATGGAACTCACTACATAAACTATTTTCGAAATCTGTATGAATTCTATACAGTAAAAATGTGGTATTGTGAATACTAAAATACATTTTAGTTATATCTTTGAAATTGTTTGTAATTTCTACTTGTAATTCATAATGTTGCTTGATTATATAAAGTGTGTTGGGTATATGACCAAAGTCCCACATTGGTTAGAAATGGGGATGATCATGGTTTATAAGGATAGATAAATATCTCCATTGATATGATGCCTTTTAGGGTAAAGCCCAAAAGTAAATATATGAGGGTTTAGGTCCAAAATGGACAATATCATACTAATGTAGATATATGTGGTGTCCATAGCCCAACAAGTGGTATCAGAGCCAAACCCCAAACTTAGTCATGTGGATGAATTCTTCGAAATGCCTAACGAAGGCGGCTAGCCTCGGTTTGTTCGCAATGGGATCCATGGATGAGCTCTATTGGGCAGGCAGTGTGCTCCGGATGCTTCATGGACGTATCCTGACCCTAACACGGTGAAGATGAGTTGATCCGAATAGAGAAAGCTCTCGAGGCAGGTGGTATTCCATGTAATGCGTGTGCCTCCAATGCATTGGAGTGGAGAATTCTAGTTGGTAGAGAGTGGACGGATGGATGATCATTTGAGGGGAGAGGAGATGGTCCTTTATTTGGGGGGAGGATTGTTGGGTATACGACCAAAGTCCCACATTGGTTAGAAGTGGGGATGATCATGGGTTTATAAGGATAGACAAATATTTTCATTGGTATGAGACCTTTTGAGGTAAAGCCCAAAATCAAGTCCATGAGGGCTTGGCCCAAAGTGGACAATATCATACTAATGTGGAGATATGTGGTATTCATAGCCCAACAAAGTGAATCAAACAATTTATAAAAGGTGTGTACTTGGTTATGTAATTAAATTTTCTTCCGTATTGCTAGTTTTGACAGGATTTATTCTTTAGTTTTGTTTATTTCGATTAAAGTCCCCGTCTCACAAACTATTATTTAAAACGTGTCGTTTGTATATAGATTGTTGTACTAGAAATGGAGTTTTTCTTGAGGGACTTGAAAGAAGAATCTTCACTATTAGACAAGACATTGTTAGGTGTCCCTTTGTGCGGCACATCAATGAACCCGCCAACTTCTTTTTAACACAAATGGCTTTCGCAACGCCCATAAGTTGTATATTTGTTTGCATACCATTTCTACGAATAGCTGATAATGCTGTGTTCAATGAATATAATGAATATGTATAATTTCCATAATCTGCGTGGCTATGGAAGCCTCTATTAGATGGATTTACTAGACAATATGACGCTATAAAAGTTATGAATCTAGTTTGGCTGTGTGCCTAAATCTGGGTTTCAGTTTTAGAATGTGGGCACTAAAATAAATTTATATGCTAATCTGTTACATTTCATCTACACGTGATTATGTGATTTGAATGATATTATATTTCATACGTATGTACCATGCACTGTTAGTACTTCAACTCAAAACATATATTACATTTCATATACATATACCATGCGTTGTTGACGAGTAATGCTATTCAAAGTAAAGATTAACGGTAGTCTTCTTACGTAGCATATATGTGGTGATTTTTGATTTGATGCACAAGTCAATAAAAAACTACCACATTAATATATCAAATCACAAAACGCCACAAACGTAGCATATATGTGGTGATTTGTGATTTGATGCACAAGTCAATAAAAAACTACCACATTAATATATCAAATCACAAATCGCCACATAAATGCCACGTAAGAAGACTACCATTAATCTTCAATGTGAATATCATTATTAGTTGTTGGCACTTAAACTTAAAACATAACGTTGTTCAGTTTTGTGTATTAACATAAAGATGGAATGTAACGCACAAAATCTCAAAGCTTAGCAGTTGTGAATTGGCATTTTCAAGTAATAGCATGTACTTATAAGTTATTAACACATGAAAACTTACCAAAATAAGAACTAACCCAAAAGTAAGTAGCAAATATGGATTAGGCAAACATAAATTAAACATCAAAACAACATGAGACATTACCATATCCATGGAAACCAAATTTGTCCGCAAATACTGAAATAAAACGCAATAATGTAATGAACGAGTTTGCAAACATTTGTATAAAACTAAATAGGCGTCCCAATATCGTGATATATGGTTCAAGTCAACAACCACTAGATTTTTTTTTCTTGGATTCTGATAAGTGTATTTTATACACTTATTCGGGGTCTAAAATAGCGATATTTGATAGTTTTTTTAACAAAATATATCATAATTTTTTGTATTTTATGTCATATGTGTAAAACTCAATGGTTGAACAAAGAATGGAAAAAAAGAAGCGAAAATTGGTAAAAAAAAATGGCAAAATCCAAAGTTTGATGATCAAATTGCAAATTCAATAGTTGATTCGGACCATAAGATGATATTTTGAAGATTTTTAGGAACAATTGGATGTAATTAAATTCAAAAAGGAATGGAATATGATTAAATCAATTTCCAATCGCACAAGTTATATTTCAGATTTTTAGTCGAAGACTGAGACCCATTTGTGGTATAGTAAATGTCTGAATTGGGAAAACTATATTTCTATAAAACTTGTAGCCCTTTGAGTTATCTTTTTAACGCACTTTGAATTGCATTAATTAGATATCGGGAGAGAAAATTATGATTAAAGTACTGAATGCTGTGCAGAGACCAAAAATCTGCACACGAAGATAATTTTCCTTATTCGATTGAAACTCTTTTGGAAGTCAATTTGGACGTGATTTTTAACCAATTTTCGAATCCTACAAATACTTAACAGTAGAATACATAGTTCCGAGTTATGTCTTTTCACTTAAATATGATTTCTTATCATTTCAATATGTTAGGCTAATTTTATATATTGTTAGGATGAGATGAATCCTTGTTATGATATTTTTAGTTTTTAATTAATTATTTTGACTTTAATTTNTAATTAATTATTTTTTTACTTTAATTTGATTTGATTTGTGGATTTTTATTATCGGTTTTATCGTTCTTTTTAATTGTTTGATCACCAATTGAATTGTTAGTGGATTTTATCGCTATCGAGAGAGACAATAGGGTTGAAGCACGTTATAATAAACATTGTAAAGTTCGATAAAGGATAGAGATATATTTCTATACTTTATATGGTTTCAATAGATGTTCTAGTACTTGTTAATGCATTTATCATACTTGCATCTTTTCATCGAAAGACAGAAATGTCACATGAGGGAAAAATATTTGATCGCTATCGAAAGAGGCTTTCAATTAAATTAGGAACATCAACCAATATAAATGATTTCAAATTGCCAATTTAATTGTTACACTAAAAATGAAATAATAAGGGAGATTCGATATCTTAGTAATGCATCTCACATATATGAAAAACACATTTACTTACTTTCATTAGTTTAATAGATAATTTAGATATTATTATAGAAAATTCAAAATATATTTCCTCTTCAATTAAAGTTACAATTAATTTTAACCCGATCAAATACATAGTACTCATGGGTTCGACACTCTATTCATTACTTTATTACTTGTTTACGATCTCGTTCACTTGCGAGAAATCAAACAATCAGTTTCACTTCTAGACGTGTTTTGAATTTATGCCTTCTATCGATTTCCTCAAACTCCTGGGGATGAGATCGGCATCCATTTCATGTCCTAGGTATGTTCTGGTTTCCATTCTTGTACAATTGACAGGTTAGGTGATTCCTAGCAATACTGGGGACAACATAGAATTCCGATTCCTATTAAATAATCCATTCAATAATTTCAGATATAATTTACAACGCAAAAATGAAATCTTGATAAATCTTTTACATTTCATGACATTCAATTCATTAAAGACATGTCCACATTCTATATTTTATAGCACGTGATATTGTGACCACAACTCAAGTGATATGGATGTCTTAACGAGGGTAATCAGTGAAATATTGGGATGAAAAATAAGTTAGGAAATTGACTGTGAAACTGAAAGAAGGTCAGTAGCAGAAATGCATTGTCACTACAGCATAATGTAGTGTGGTATCGGTGAGAATGTAAGGTGTAATTGTTCTATTTTCATGATTCTTCGAAACTACTTGATGATACTATGTGTGATATGGCTCATAATCGAAATGTGATTATACATGCCTATGAAACATAACGTGCCTAATTCAAATATGCATAGCAACATACATTTGCGTATGGTCATGAAACAGCATGCCAAAATAAAAAATAAAAAATAAATCGCATATGTGAAATGTGACAAGCCTAATTCAAATATGTCTAGTATGATACATTTCGAGGTNTAATTAATTATTTTTTTACTTTAATTTGATTTGATTTGTGGATTTTTATTATCGGTTTTATCGTTCTTTTTAATTGTTTGATCACCAATTGAATTGTTAATGGATTTTATTGTTATCGAGAGAGACAATAGGGTTGAAGCACGTTATAATAAATATTGTAAAGTTCGATAAAGGATAGAGATATATTTCTATACTTTATATGGTTTCAATAGGTGTTCTAGTACTTGTTAATGCATTTATCATGCTTGCATATTTTATCGAGAGATAGAAATGTCACATGAGGGGAATATATGTGATCGCTATCGAGAGAGGTTTTCAATTATAATAAACATTGTAAAGTTCGATAAAGGATAGAGATATATTTCTATACTTTATATGGTTTCAATAGGTATTCTAGTACTTGTTAATGCATTTATCATACTTGCATCTTTTCAT